AGTAGCCCCTGGGGTCCAGGGCACCCAACTCCCCCCTCCCAGTAGCCGCTGAGGGTCCTGGGCACCCCACTCCCCCCTTTCAGTAGCCCCTGGGGGTCCTGGGCACCCAGCTGCCCCCCTTCCAGCAGCCCCTGGGGGTCCTGGGCACCCAACTGCCCCCCTCTCAGTCGCCCCTGGGTGTCCTGGGCACCCAGCTGGCCCCTCCCAGTAGCCCCTGGGTGTCCTGGGCACCAAACTGCCCCATCCCAGTAGCGCCTGGGGGTCCTGGACACCCAACTGCCCTGTCCCAGTAGCCCCTGGGGGTCCTGAGCACCCAGCTTCCCCCTCCCAGTAGCCCCTGGGGGTTCTGGGCACTGAACTGCCCCCCTTCCAGTAGCCCCTGGGGGTCCTGTACAACCAACTGCCCCCTCCCAGTAGCCCCTGGGGGTCCTGGACACCCAACTGCCCCATCCCAGTAGCCCTTGGGGGTCCTGGGCACCCAACTCCCCGCTCCCAGTAGCCCCTGGGTATCCAGGGCACCCAACTGCCCCCCTCTCCGTCACCCCTGGGGGTCCTGGGCACCCAGTTCCTCCCTCCCAGTAGCCCCTGGGGGACTTGGCACCCAACTCCTCCCTCCCAGTAGCTCCTGGGGGTCCTGGGCAACCAACTGCCCCCCTCCTAGTAGCCCCTGCGGGTCCTGGGCACCCAGCTGGCCCCTCCCAGTAGCCTCTGGGGATCCTGGGCACCCAACTCCCCCCTCCCCATAGCCCCTGGGGTCCTGGGCACCCAACTTCCCCCATCCCAGTAGCCCATGGGGGTCCTGGACTCCTTTTTTCTCGGGTCCCCACAGGTGACGGTGCGCGTGAAGGTGGAGGAGGTGGCCCCGGGGGACGTGGAGGACCCCGAAGTGACGGGGGACGCCTTGAACCCACCATCGGAGTCCCCCCACCCCGCCTTCGGGGACGGCTGGCGGGAGGAGGTGGCCCCGGGGAAGGTCAAGTTCGTCCCTGAGGAAGAGGAGCAGCATCTGCAGGAAGCAGGTGATGTTGGGCTGAAGGGAAGACCTTCTCCCCTCTGACCCCCCAAAAAAACGGGGTGAAGAAGCTCCTGTAGGAGCTGGGGGTGGGCCTTGGAGGTGGTGAGGTGCCTCCCGCGATGGGTTTGACCCCATCTGGGCCTCCCCACAGATGCTCCCATGATGTCACTGCTCCGGTTTCGTCCCTCGGTGGAGGACGAGTGAGAGCAAAAGGGTGGGAGGAAGGTCAAAACCGGGGTGCCGGGTGCTGGGAAAACCTGCTGCGTGTTGAGGAAGGAGAAAGACGTGACCCCCCCCATGAAGGATTGAGATGGAGACTCCTGCCGTGTGGCAGTGCCACGCTCGCGCCCCGTGGCGGTGCGTGAAGAAAGGTCTCCGTGGGCTTGAAAGCCAAACCGAAGCGAGAAGAAGTATCTGAGATGTCCACGCTGGCATCGGAAGCTGGGAGACGGCCGTCTCTTGAGTTGCGGAGAAGGTGGAGAAGGATGGAGGTCTTGGGAGTGGAGGTCATGAGCGGCCGTTGAGAGCTCTTGTTCTCCTCGTTTGGCCTCTGGAAACCACAAGCCCCAAAATCTCGTCCCTGTCCTCCAGCACCAGCTTCTTCGCGGCGATGCCGGAAGCGCTGCTGGAAGGAGTTCTGGTGTTCCAGCGATGATGGTTGGAACGTGGTGGGCTCTCCAAATCCTCCTCAGGTGGCCTCACCTTCATCCCTGGCCCAGCGTGGGCCTGATGGTCATCCATGATCGGTAATCTGTGATTGACCATCCATGATTGGCCATCCATGATTCATCATCCACAATTGGCCATCCATGGTTGGCCATCCATGATTGGCCACCATCCATGATTGGCCATCCATGGTTGGATTTGGGCTTCCATTGAGCCACGGGAGTCGGACCATCTCCGCCATCGGTGGAGGAGAGCGCGGGCAGTGGGGTCGGGGCACAAGGGTGGTGTCTTCCCTTGAGAACCAACTCATGACGCATCTTCTCCTCCCCCACCAGGAGGTCCCACCACGGCAAGCAGAGATCCACACGTGTCCGTTCTGCAACGCCAACACC